ACATTCGCAATATCCAGTTCATATCCATTTCTTAGTAAATATTTGTCGTTTGCAAATAACTTATTTGAGGGAGAATTTTCTCATGAAGAATCTCAGGCAGAAATCGTCTGTTTTTAAGAACGATAACGATGAAAGATATCGATGGATGCTAAACTGAATGACGCACCGTTGCCAAATACTAATATGAAAAGTGATACGTTTAAATGATGAGTGTGCTGTGACTTTTAAAATCGTGTTTCAACCTCTACGAACTCGGAGTTGTGAAAGTGTAACATCGTTTCTCAAGAAACTGGTGCGCGTAATTTAAATTCCTCCTACTTCTCAAACGTGCATACGTTGCAAGCTAATGCTAAGAGAAGTGCAGCAGACATCTTTGGCCAACGTTTTATTCATGACCAATCAATCAAATTTAGGACAGGTTTGAATTTATAAAATTTGGAATCTTTTTTTCATCTACTTTTGGGCGTACGAAATCAGCGTCGCCTAGAGAGTGCATCAAATTTATTAGCATCCACCGTATCAACCATCGAAACGAGAATAATATATCTTAATAAAATAGATAATAATTAATCAACAGCCATACACTGTAAGTAAACACTTAGAGTACGCTCATTGAAAAGTACATAATTAAACTTAAAAAAACTGGGATGTACTTTATGATCAATTGTACTTTAGTATCAATTGTAGGATGTACTTTATGATGTGAACTTTATGATCAATTTACTATACCAATAAATGGTATAGGCAACTAAGGAAACTAAACAAGAAACATAAGAAACTAAAACAAGATTAGATTTACTCATCAGTAAAAGATTAAAATTATGACTCATAAGAATTTTTTGAATGAAATTCGATAACTTTTTACAGTTTAGATGGCTTAATTTAAAAGAAAAAACTCAATAAAATGCAACATAAAATAAATAACAGACGTATGAAGTTTTCAGTGACTTAGACATGTCTTACTTATAAAAGTGAACTTTATGGAGTTAAACACACCTTAGCATCAAGTTTATTTTTATCGAACATTGTTTCTGATTTGTTAAAGCAATGGCTATTCATTTCTGTTAGTTAAATTCCTTATTTTAGTGTAATTGCTATATGATCTTAATAAGCATAAATAATGAATAAATGCTTCAACTGTTTAGAAATTAATGATCAATTAACATTTTTTACATGACTATAACATTTTAAAGAATATTTTTGTGCAATACAGAATGCAATATGGCACAAGTTTGGAAGCAGTGGCAAAGTAATTTTGCATAGGTAAGCATATATAACATATTTAGCCATAAAATGAGAAATAAACATTATTTATGTGTTACATAAGTATTGAAAATTCGATTAAGGGTATGTATTATTTAAATAATCTTAAATAATACTTTTTCTGGTACATGTTATTTCCAACATTTTCTTCTAACTTTCTTAAATTTTATTAGTTAGACAAAAAAAATCTTTTTGATATTATGAACTTTTTTTTAATAACAACCTGTAAATTATCAACAAATAATAGCAGATAATGAGGCAAAATGTAGTTATAAGGAATAACATCAAACGGTTGAGCCATTAGCATGGTGGTAGGCATAATTCATCGAGTGGAATCTGTAATGGTTTTAATACGACGCATTAGTGTTCCAAAGAGCATTTCAACAGCTTGCAAAAATATATCCTTGGACCCTTGGTTCTATAAGCTTAACATTGTTGCAAAATGAGAGAAAAAATACATAAAATACAAACTAATGATTCTCGTTTCGTAGATCAACTCTTCAACTATGCCAAACGATAAAAAAAGAAAGTATTTGCACAAATCTGGTAACAATAAGAGTGATGAATTATTCATGGTAAATCCTTAAGTGCTTCTTTCTATTGGCGATAGAATGTAAGAGTAGATTGGTTCAGAGATAATAAGCTCGCCATTCATCGCCTATTGCATTTTTCATGGAATGGAAGTATGTCTATTAAGGAAGCAAATCTTCAGTCGTTTCAAAACGAGAAAAACATACCTTCTTTCCTTCTTATTTCACACGATTCTGATATTTTTTTGGCGTAGTTGAAAAGTTGTTGTACTTCAACCACAAGAGAAAAAAATATTCTTAAATACCTAGTAGATTGAAAACTTTTTCTAAGTTTCAGTGTCAATTAGAGAAAGTGTAAAGCAGAATTCAATTAAGGTATTTTCATTATGTTTTTTAGTGCCTTATCACTTTAAAAAAAAATTCGAATATCATTACTGTGCTCGATTTTAACTAAGATGGTGTTCGAGGTTGAGCAAACTTAAAGTCATGAATTATTGGTTATAAAAATAAAATCAAGCTTTTTATTAAAAAGAATTTTTATATTATTTGAACTTAAAAGTTAACTATGATATTTTTGAAAAATGATAAAATCTAAAATGGTTTAAACACACAAAGTTTCTATCATACTTTCATTTTTAAATAACATGATCAAATCGAATTTCTAAATTCCATTTCACTACATTTTTATATTTTCTTCTTTTCTAAATAAAATATTAAATAAATATTTCGCAGCAAATAGTTTGGATTAGAAAGTTTCCTCATTTTTGTTTTAGTATTGATGGTGCAAGTCAGTTGATCACATTAGGTAACTAAAACATTATTTTTTTTAATTTGATCCACAAAAACTCCGTTTGATCCAACATTATCACAGGTAAAAGTCATTTCAGTGTGATGACAATAAAGTTTTCGTTTAATGATTATTCATTTCAAAAAATAATTTTTCTTCTTTTAAAAAGAAGAACTTTAAAATTTATTTTGACAAGTTTAACCATAGTAAATAATTGATATTTGACCAGCATTTTCCATCTTAAAGATCTTTCGTATTAAGTGTGTGATGCAGAGTAATTCGGCAATACATATTCAATATGACAGTTAAGTAGGAATAAAACACTCTATAGAGGTTATTTTTCATTAAATTAGGCTTCGAATTACTATCAAAATATAGTTTTACTGCTTTAAAAACCTTAATTGTTTTCTTGAAAAAGCGTCAGAATTTAAGGTGTTTCTTCCCTGACAAAATGCAATGTAACTCAAGGCGCTCCTGCTCATTTCTTGACCAGCATCGTTTGCCAGAAGAACAAACAGTTCTCCAGCCAGTGAAGTGAAGTTATTATAAATTTAAAACTGCACGGGCTTATGGACTAGATGTTACTTTCTATCAAGTGGGATAAGAAAAAACATAGTTTATTTATAATATATAACATATTTTATGTAGTTTTAACCATTTAAAATTTCAATATGATTCATTTTCATATGCTCTAGGCTTAAGAAACAGCATGAAAAAGTATTCTGACATATTTTTTAAATTGACTGACTTTAAAGATATTCTGTTTTTAAACGATTAAAAATATTTTCTATCCTTTTATTTAATTCAAATAAATCCTCACTCATTTCTTGTTACATGTTTATTTTTTTTCAAATAATTACTTCTAACGAATATTCGTCACCCGTTGTGACACAAGTTTTCCATTTTTGGCCAATAATTGCCTTTTTAATTTGAAATGTAATGCGAAAAGCGTGAACTGCATAGAGTTTCCATTTGAAAACTGAAAGGGTAGAAGGTGACTTTGTTAATTTTTATCAATGATAAGGATTTGATTTACTATTTGGCAAATAAATAGTATTTTTCATGATGGAGAACTTAATTGAATAACCGAATTTAATTTTATACATCTTATGCTGTAGTTTCCATAAGTGAGGAACACCATACTTTTTTTTTTAAAAAATTCTTAACTGCTAAATAAAAAATATTTGTCTTTTTCTCTTGTGGTTTATAACTACAAAAATAAAGAAAAACAAAAAGATATGCAATGAATCAGCCATTTTGTTTTTAGTTTGAATAATTTAATTGATACAGATATCGTCTGCCAATATCAGAAAAATTTTGGCCTTTAAAAATTACAATATAAATAAATATTACTGGAATATATTACTGGAAAATATTACTGGAATACTTAATTGCTTCTCATAAAATGTTTTCGTGAAATTAAAAAGAACTTAGAACAATTTAGAAATTAATTTTTAGATAGTATTCCTTTCATTAAGGGAATAAAACTAACGTAGAGTCAAAAGCAAACGCAAACGACTTCAAAAAGAATTGTGACTTTTTCCTTTGATCTTCAGACGTAAATATTTATTGATTATACATTAATAAATGCTACTTTAAAATAATAATCTCGCAAAATTTTCTCAAGAGATTTTTTATCTAGTTGAAAAAAAGAATTGAACTCAACATTAAAATTACGATGCTCGATTATCTTTTATCTAATCTAAATTCATTTCCCTATAAAAAGTAGATAATTAAGTTTTTGGGCGGATTCCATTTTCCAACCATCTGCCGTCAAATATAAAATTCGTATGAAATTTTTGTTTTTTGTCAATATTAATACTTGTTTCAAACTTCAAAAATTGCTTATGATTTGATAACATTTTGAGAACATTGAAAATTGATGGTGATATTTATTATAAAAGAGTCTTCGTAAATTAATTTGTAACTGAATTATGCTAAAGTAGTTTTTTTGTGCGTCAGTTTCTTCTGAAATTTTTTGAGAAAAACAAGACACTTTTACGAAATTGGTTTAGTATAAGATGCTGAAATTACTTGGCGGCATATTTATAGGAACTTTTGTTTTGAAGGTATTAATAATTTTTTATAATTTTTTGAACATAATAAATGGTAAACTGTTTTGTAAAATACATTGAAAAAAAATATTGAAAGTTAGTTAAATGACTTTTTAAAAGTTTCTGTTTGCGTATTAGCTAAAATTGCGTGAGCTTAAAGAACAGCAAATGAATATTAGAATTTGATAGAGAGGCGTACAAGAATATTTAGAAATAAACTGAAGAAATGAAAGATCTAGAAGAAATAAATATTTGACATTGTACGTTAAGCTTTAAAACGAGTAAGTCACAAGCAAAAATAATATAGCTATGCATATATGTTTTGCATTTAGGTGAAAAAAAGAATTACATACAGACATGTATTGTATTGTAACACATTTATACAGAGCTCTTATGACCAATATGTTAGATCAATATTAAAATATACGTATTTTTCCTATAAATCAGTATTTATCTCTTATATTTCTTCATTACTGATAGTTATATAGTTTTGTTTTTAAGAATACTAGGATTAAACTAAGAAACAAGCTTTAAAAAAACAAAATGGCTAAATCATGACGAAGAATTTATCACCCAACTAGGCAAAGCAAGCAATATGATCCCGGTAGTCTGAATATATATAGATATATCAGTCTGGACGACGTTGTCTTGAGTAGTGGTTGGCGACGATGACTGCAAGAAAGGACTATTCTGGCACCACAAGATATAGAAGTCACGTGAGGCCTCTATGGTGGTGAAATGTGGCTATGGCGACCTCTGACATTATCATATCGATAGGCTCGCGTGTGTCATACAGCGTTGGGGCATGTAGGATGATTCCACATGTGCCGACCAGAACGGCCACCGAGAAGATCCACAGGAAAAGTCGGTCCAGAACCATTGCCACGTATTTCCAGTCCTCTTTCACCTGCTCAAGAATCCAAAACAAAGATTATCTCACACAAAAAGAATGGTTTCACTGGGAAAGATGCATTCATAGGCAGTCAATCATGATTCAAACAAAACTTTATTCTAATGAAATCAAAAATGCGTGTAGCAAGGTTTGTACAATAAAGAAGAATTAATATATCTTAACTAAAAATTTAAAAATCGCACACAGGAAGAATAATCACAGAAATAATAGCACATTACTATAGAATCAATCATAATCTATAATAAATATTATTATCTTTGCTTATCAACTGAGCTTTTTTTGTTTCAAGATTTGAATTGTTAGTAAGAGAAAATAAATCTGAAATAAAGAATCTCAAAACAGAGAGAAATACGATTCACTACAAAATGAAGAAAATTGTGATCTTCTTACGACGATCACTGGTTACCCATTGGCAAAATGGTTGTTATCTAATTTTTTTTTGGAAAAGAAGCTTTATTGTGTTTTAATCTTGGACATCTTTAACTGTTAATCCTGAACTTCTCGGTATACAATTTCGCGGACATATTTAAATGCAGCTCAGACACATTCTGTGTAAATTCTTTTGATGACTGAATAGACACTGAACAGCCAATCGAGATCAATATTGACATTTTCGGAATGGTACAATGGTGTTTGATGGAGATTGTAAGCTGCATCATACACCCGTTTCGGATTCACAAGTTCATACATGAAATATGATTTGAAAGCTAGGCTTTTTTAAATTTTACATGAATAGTGAATGAATCATTTATATTGCGTGGAAGACAGTCTATGCGGTATTGTGCAAGTTATTGGGTACGTTGACAATGGATCCTTTTATCCCTAACTGGTGATCAACACTCAGTTCTCGTATTTGCATGAAAGAGGTTCGGAGAGTTACCATTCGCTCATCGGCAGGGTTCAATTTTCTCAACCACTTAGGTACTTTCGTGAGGGACGGGTTTTATGCTTGCGTTTGCGAACGGAATCCTTTCGTTTTTCCGTTTGTGTGTAAAGCTTAAGGTATTTCCGTCTACGTTCTTTGGCTTTGGCTTTTTCAGCCTCGGTAAGTTTAGGCCTTAGCATCGTTTTTTTCTTGCTGCAACTCTAACTTTTGGGACCATGTCAATCAGTTTGGATCCGCTTTATTTGAGATATTCACCTGAATTAGTATTGAAAACGATCGAGTTTGAATTGTTGGTTAGAATTTTTGATTCTTAATTAAAACAATAAAAACAATAATGATGCATAACAAACATTTCTCCCTCCCCACAAGATTTCAGAGAATATATACTCACACAAAATGGTGCTAGGAATAATACTTAAACTTTCGTGATTCCATTATTTATTTAAGACCATAAAATATAATTAGTAACTGAAACTGAAAATATGAGAGCTAAGATTTTCAAAATTAATACTAAATCTATTTTAATTACTGATGGAAATGTTTTCTGCTAGTTGATGAATGATTCTAAAATAAATGTTATTCACATGAAAAGAAAAATTGTACTGGGAAGGATGCAGTTTGAATCATTCATATATTATATAAAACTTAACAGTATTTATTTAACAGTGGAAACTGAAAATCTATGCAAGAAGATTTGCTCGATTAAGAAAAGAAAATGCCTCCCAACTTATTATGTAAATTTGTTTTACTTAGGTACTATACAACGGTTATTCACACGAAAAGAGAGTTTATTTCATTGAGATGGAACGATTAATGTAAGCTCAATAAAATTTAGTATAAACTTTTGTTAGTATTCTTTATTAATTCATATTGAAAGTATATGCAGAAAGATTAAGACTATTAAGAAAAAGAAATATACACCAATTAACGATGAAAATGTCATCGATCTTTCTCAAGATTCCATAACAAAGGTACATAATAAATAGGTCTAATGCGTTTGTCTCATTCATAATTCATTTGCGTTAATATAAGTTCATTCATAATTTATTTGTGTTAATATTAGCTCATTCAATATCTATATACGCAACAAGATACAAAATGTCTTATCTTTCTCAAAAATCAGAAATAAAGATATTTTCGTAGAAAAAAATAATTTTATTGAAAATTATGTAAAAATAACCCTTAACTCATATTAAAATTTAATTATTTTTGTTTGTTAATTGATACTGAAAATATATGCAACAAGATCAAGGCTATCAAGAAGATAGAAATGTCTTAAGATTCTAAAATAAAAATGATGGAACGTGCATTTTAAACAAATTTTCGCACTTAGTAAAAATTTAGCATTTAATTTATGATGAAACTATTTTTTTTTTCATTTAGTCAGCAAATTAAAGTTTATACAGTTAAAAAAATTCTCCTTAAAACCTGTAGCAATCTACAGTTACAAGAAAAAAACTTTTACATTCATAAACCCATTAGAAATTGGAAAAGATTTTTACCATTTTCTACTCATTAATATACTCCCTTCCGCTCTTATTTTGAAGAGAATAGAATGAAGTAAAACTTTGCAACTTTCTTTCTGAAAATTTCATTGTTTAAAAAAATGTGGTTTTGCTTAAATTATTTTTCGAAAAATGGGATGTAATATGGAGTGTTAAAAACAAAACTTATCTCTTCAAACTTTAACGAGTCAGTTGCTACAATAATAAAATCAAGACTTGTGGAACAATTTAATCTTGCTTGTTCGATGCATAGCTGTTGCCACTGACTTTTATAAAATATTAAACAAAATTCTTATTTCGCAGACGAGAATTTAATTGAATCGCCTAACATTCATTTTAACCTTTGGGTGCGATTGCTTCCGCTCCAGAAAACGATTTAATTTTCCAAGAAAATTTATCCACCCGTATGTTTTAGGAAGCCCTAATAATTTTTCATGTTCTGAATTTTGCTTTTTGATGAAATAAGAAAGTTTGTTTCTTGACTTTGGCAACGTGGGCAAAATAAAAGAGGAATTGTAGAGAAAAGGCCGATTGTCACCCAAGTTCTTTGTTATGTAACGAAAGGAAAAGGAAATAAAAGGACCCTTAGAAAATTTCTATTTTTGTTTGCTAAGATGGTTCAACCAACTTGAAAGAAAAAGACTGTTCGTCTTTTGTTTGTCATTCATATTATAGAAGAAAAACTTTTGTTTGTTGTCTTTAATAATAATGGCATTTGTATTTTTTTATATGATTAAGTAAGTTTGACCAGTTAAGTGTTAGTTTGACTAATAAAAATATACCACCAATAGTTTGTTAAACTATTACAAAGAAATACTTTTATTAAAGGAAATTTTAAGTATGCATTCAATAAAATTTTATTTGAATAACATTAATTCCACAAAAGGTTTTGTTTAAACTTTTTGCCTTTTGAATCATTTCTTAAAAATTCGCTTGAATACTAGAGATGCTTGGATTCTTTTATTCGATCAAATAAGTTAGTGACTGATGAATTAAACATAAAATAATTTATTCTTATTAGCTTGCTTAACTATTACAAAAAGAGTAAAAAGTAGAATTTAAAGAATACATGGTTATAGTAAACCTTTATATTAATGAAATTGAAATCTTCAATACAAATTCGTTTTTATAGTTTAAATGTTTCGTCTTAACCTTTTTAACGAATTTCTTTTTCAACGAGTATTTTGTCACTTGTAATTGCGTTATAATAGAGCAACTTTGATTTGAAACAGTACAGTTTGCTTAAGATAACTTTGTTTTCAGCTTAGTGGATATGCAGGTTCTGTAATTACAGCTTTGCTTTAATGGAATTCTTATCAAAAATGAGCAACACATTTCCGGTCTGTTTATTAAAAGTATAATATATTCCTGTCCCCACAATTTAACAATTTAAACTTATTTCTAATTTAATTGCTCTTAAAACATCAGTATTTAATGGAACCAAATACTATTTTATTTAGTGGTAAAAAACTCAGATGTTTGAGTTATTATCAATTATAAATATAAAAATAATGTTAAGTGTTCATAGTTATTGTTAGTTAAGTGCGCTTTTAAGTTGATTATGATTTAATTTAATAACTTTTACAGCGGCGATAAATGGGTTAAATTGGATACTGCCCCTTTTATAGTGATTAACTCTAAAGTGATTGAGTAAATGTTAATCCCAAAAGTAAACGGTAAAAATGGCTAAATGACTGCTCGGACGGAAAAAAAGCATCAAATAGGACAGAATTGTCTTACAGAAGAAATTAGAGTAAGAAAAGAAAACGGAAGAAGGTAAGGATAAAAGAAAGAATAAGTAAAGGATAAGAACGTTGGGAAAATATAAAGTAAATGATTTGCTTACATATCTCATGAAATTCCTTATCGAAATTGAAGGATGGAAACGGATTAGAAGTATTCAAAAATGCAGCGTTCAGTTCAGTAATTAGTAATTTGATATTGTTAATTAGCGTTAATGTAAGGTTCCTTTTAAACTTGCCATTGTGGCTATTTAATTAATGGCCATTAGGAGAAAAGCTTACGTCAATGCTTACGCTGTTGATATATGAGAGAGGCCATGTATTTACTTTCTACAAGAGTACTGGCAGTGTAACAAAGAAAATTTTTTTTAACACCCACCTATATTGAATAATGAGAAAGTTTCATTTGTTTCAAAAAATATAATAGTGGAAAAAATAGATATGTTCGAAAACTGTTGCCTTCTCAAGATTCCACCAGATGGGAATAAGGAAAATCAAAAAAGATTTAGAAGAAGAACAAACATATAATTGCTAACCAAAAAAAAAAGAAGAAAGAAAAATAAAATAACGGTGAAAGCAAAGCTAGAATAACCGCAGTAGCCGAGAGGATCAAATTAGAGCATGATGCAAATAAAAGTGCTGCAAAGGACACTGGTGAAGAGCTCATATGAATGAAACATGATTTTAGAGCAGCAAAAGTCTAGTTTTACTGTTGACATGATTATTTCGACTATCGTGTGAAGTATAACTTTAATAACATTAGCATAAGCCTAAACTTCAGAATGATGATTGAATATTTCATAGTGGCATGAAATATTTTAGCTAGCAACTTACAAGAAAAAATATTCAAATGACGAGAACGCC